CTCTGAGCACTGAGCGGCGAGCACCGCGGCCAAACTTGGCGGCCCGTGCTCCTGCTTCAGATCAACCACCACCACGGTGATGTTGTCCCGGCTGCCGCGCGTCACGGCGGCGCGCATCAGCACGCCCGACGCGACGCGGCACGCGGCGGTGCGCGAGGCGCCGCGCGCGCGCGCGCGCTGCGCTGAGCGGAGGGCGAGGTTGACGGCCTCCTGGGCGGCAAACACGTCCCACAAGCCGTCCTGCGATCGAGGAGTTGATATGGTTGCCCACATGCACAGCGTGAGCAGGCCTCGTACCGCCACGTCATATCCCACCTAGCTTATCAGACCGGCTCGCAGGGTTTGGAGGTGCGGATGAAGGGCCGATGGCTGCTTGGCAGTCCACATCGACACCGCTGCGGGCGTGGGTTCTTCTACCGGTAAATACTAAGCGCATCACCTGCGTCCTGCATGGGACCCTACACCTGAACCCACCGTGGCCAGGATAAGCAGCTCGTCGTCGCTGCTGCGCTGGAAGCTGGTGATCTCGGGGTCGGCGATGACGTAAGGCCGCAGGAAGTGGTCCCCCAGCGCGCGGCTCATGGCCAGCAGCCCCATCACGCGGTGCGTGCCGGCCTTGAACACCACGCGGCCGCCCGACGCCTTGACGCGCGCCTGCAGCAAAGCGGGGGTGTGCGGCTGAGCGGTGTGTGACTGAGCGGAGTGCGGCTGAGCGGTGTGCGGCCGCGGCTGCCGCTCCATCAGTAACGCACATGCGGACCAGCATGCAGATGCATTGCCACCTAGCAACGCCCTGCCTTGCCCTGTCCAGCCAGGTCCAGCCCAGCCCTGCGCTGCCCAGCCGTTACCAACCCCTGATGCCCACACGTATAAAAATGTATGTGAAATGGGAGGCCGTCGACTCACCGCCTCGTCTGAGCGGTCTGGCTTGTGGTCGGTGGTGAGCGATATCGCCGCGCCCTTGCGGCACAGCACCGCCCGGCTGTCGCCGCAGTGCGCCAGGTGCACCTCGCCGCGCCCGATCACCGCCACGACCGCCGTGCTGCCCACCAACTCGCCGACCTCTGTGCCGGCCAGATCGCGGTCGGTACGCATGAACGCCTGCCGCAGCGCGCGTCCGACCGCCTCGCCACGCCGGTCAGACGCCTGGCTGCTCGCGCTGGGGCTCGGCGGGCAGCTGCCGAGCAGAGGGCTCGAGTAGGACGACGCGTCCGCGTGCGGGGGCGCCGCGGCCGCTGTGAGTGCCCGCGCGGCGGCCGCCGCGGCGGTCGTCGCCGGATGCAGCGGGGGCAGTGGCGGCGGCGGCAGCGCGGCGGGCGCGCCGATGCCGGCGGCGGCGGCGTCGCAGAATGCGCAGCCGCTGGTGCTGCTGGTGGCGTCGCTGTCGTCTGTGTCAGGCAGGCACGGGCCGAACACGCTGCCGCTGCTGCCGCGACTGTGGCCGCCAGAGGCCCGGCTGCTGCCGCTGCTGCCGAGCGCTTCAGCGGCGCCGGTGGCGCCAGACTCGGTGAGCGCGCACAGAAAATGGAGGTGCAGGTGCTCTTGCGCAAACTCTGCCACCTCCTTGCCTCCATGTCCGTCAAACACGCCTGCACGCATGCATGTTTGTGGGCACGCCATGCGTCAAAGATGGCTCTCGGCATCCAGGTGTGTGCCCATGTGGGGCGTTGACAGAGCAACGGCACAATTTTTTTTGGAAACTGCGTTGCCGCCACTATGCAGCGACGCAAGGACCCAGTCAACGCGCATACATGTTCATTCGCAGCCCGCTGCGCGTAGCTCGCAAACCCCGCACAAGTGATCTTTAGGTGATTACATGCAAAAACAAAGGCAATTCAGGCACCTACCAAACCACGAAAGCATGTCGTCGGCGTCGCTGCTGTGCTGCGATGCCCGCAGGTGCAGATCCTCGTCAGCGGTTACGCAACCTGCTGCGCTGCTCGCACCGCCGCCGCTGGTGCCAAGGGAAGCGAATGCTATGTGCACGCTGAAAGCGTCCTCGAGGGTGCGTCCGTTCTGGGCACATTTTGCGCCGAAGGCTGGCCCCACGCTCGTTTGCAGCTCTGCGCCGCTCAGCCATGCTTCTAGGGGTCTAACGCTCATCACTCGCGCTTGAAGGCCTCAAGTTAGAGCCACATGCTTGCCGCGCGGACTGCACAGGAATGGGGTTCGTCAACCTCGGTGGGCAGAGCGCGCTCCGTGTTTGTAGAAAGTCTAGGTCGAAATTCAAAAACACAATTGAATGTGGCTGTCGGTGTGATGGTCACGATGCCGTGCCTGGAGCGGATGGAAACCTGCCAGCAAAGCAACTCCTTTCGTCCTTGGGACGGCACGCAGTCGCTAATGCTCTCGATTTAAGGGAAACGGAATCTAGTTACAGAACGTGGCGGAATCTCTGCCTAATTATGTTGCAATCGCGTCGTTCCGCGAGCGCCGATGTGGCCGCAGGCACCTGACCGCACCTGCGCCCAACCCACGTGCGGCGGGGAGCCGAGCCACGCGCCTACCGCCGACAAGGCGCATGCGCGTCTAAGTCACTCATCGTCGCCGTCCTGGTCCTGCTCCATCCCGTCCCCTGCCGCCGCCGCCTCACCGCCACCACTGTCTGGTGGCAACTCCCCCTCGCGCCGCCGATGCTTGCCCTTTCGCTTTCCATCCTGCGCGCCCGCCGCTGCCGCCGCCGCCGCCGCCGCCTCTGCTGCTGCTGCCTCTGCTCCCGCTGCCTCTGCGCTCTCCCGCGCCTGCTGGCCCAGACGGATCTTCAGCTCGGTCATGAACGTGGGCACGCTGTCCTTGTGCACGAAAACCACCGCGGCGTCAAAGCCGTCACGCTCCTGGTCCCATTTAAGGGCGTCGGCTTCCTCCTGCAGGACCTGCTGAAATGTGGTGCCAAACACGTTGTACTGCGGGTCGGGAAGGCACGGCGTGCGGGAAAGGGATGGCGGCGCATTGTAAAAACGAAGTGGCTGTGAGGTACGGCAGTTGAGGGGTTCGCCAGTCCGTTGTCTCTCGCTGCATATTTTGAGGGCACACGCCACGTTTAGGATGTGAGGGGGCAGCAAAGATGGTTTAAGCAGGCAGCTGGCTTGGCTGCAAGCGTCCCCTCTATGTGCGTAAAAAGGGGGCTGCCCACAGGGAGGCCAGGGCGCGCCGATGGCTGCGCTGCCCCGCGCACTGCCCAGCTCTTTCTCACCTGCGGCTGCTTTGGCAGCTGTTTGTGCCGTATGCCAATGACACAGCAGTAGCCACTGCCATCGTCCGGCCCCACCACCGCCATCGGCCACTTGCTCTTTCGAGCCGTGCGTGCCACGTCGGCCGCGTCGCGCACAAAGGTGGCCAGGCGCAGCAGCGCCAGCGGGTGGCGAAAGCGGTCACTGTTGGTGGGCCGAATTGCCTGCACAAGGCGGGGATTTGGGATTACTGTCAGGAGGTGACAGGCTGCAATATGGTTGGGGCTCAGCAAGGCACGGGTGATTCTGCAGGGCGGCAAACTAGGGCAGGGAGTGTCATTGAAGCATGTGCCTGACATAACGCATGCCGATCACCTGCAGGTTGAGCTCCTGCATGTGGTGAGCAGGGTTGGCCTCCAGCTGCCGCCGTGTGATCATCAGGCCGCCGTCCCTTTGGGGGGGTGGTCGCCCCAAGGGGAGGGGAAGAGAGGGTGCAGCTGGTGGAGGCAGGGCCCACCTCGTGAGCCAGCAAGCTGTGCTGCCGGCTTGCTGGCCGCCGCCCAGCCTGTCCGCCCGTATCAGGCGACCGCCTGGACCTAGCCCTGCTGCACAACCTCAGAGGCTAGCCCCAACTGTAGTCGATGCAGCCGCAGGCAAGCTGCTAGTCTTGCCAAGCCTCCCGCACAGCCGTCCAGCCGGGCGGTCCGCCATCACCCCAGCTGGCCCGCCCACTTGATGACCGCCAGCTGCAGCGCCTTGGCCTCGTCGATGCCCTCCTTGAGCAGCTTCATGGAGCGTGGCGTGGACACGTCCAGAGCCTCGAGCGCCGCCCTGGGGGATTGGCCGACGTAGGTTGTTGTGGCCGATGATGCGCCTGGCACAGGGCATTTTTCAAGCGGCACGACCACATACTTGTGGCACATGGACGCAACTCGACGCCAGCAGGCCCCTGCAAAGCGCGTTCTGCTCCAACAGCTCTGGGCCAGCTCAGCTCGTGCCCACAGCGCCTACACACATGCCTGCATCCTCGCCCCGCCTGGCCACACCACACCCCGCCCGCGCCTCCCCTCCACCCCCGCCCCACCAGAAATCGTCCCGTGCGGCCGCCGCCTGCTCTTCCCGCACGTCCTCTGGGCCTTGCTCCCTGCCGCCGCCGGCCGCGTCCGCGCCAGCCCCTCCGCCGCCGCCCGCGCCGCTGCCGGGGCCCGCGCCGCCGATCTTGGTGTGGCGCACGAGCAAGCCCGTCAGGGCGTGCACGCAGTCGGCGGCACTCAGGTGCCAGCTGTACCCGTAACGCAGCTCAAATGAGTCGAACTGGAGGTCATGCGCCGACAGGGCGGTGTTGCGGCAGGCCAGCGGAAGCTTCTTGGCCAGGTCCTGGTTGCTGCTGCTCATGGTAGCTGGAACGTCGCGGGGAGCGGGAAGGTGGGGTGGTCAATGTTTCGGCGTGATTTTGGCGTGTTGAGGATGCAACCGGAGGATGCTCGCCGCGCACGAGTTGTTCAGATTGCCCCAGGCAGGGCGACATGGCATGGTTGGTTGCATAGCTTGTAGTGCTGCCCGTTAACCACTATTCAGCAATCTTGCACCGCTGCTCACCAAACGTCATGCGAGCCTGTTCCAGAGATAACCCCATATTGACAAACAGCAGCTGCATCCTGCTCAGGCCGCCCTCACGCCATGTCTGAGAGTGAGGAGGTGGTACAGACTTCAGGCGGCTGGAGTGACACAGCTTTGGATACATGCAGCATGCTTCAAGCGCCATGTGAGCGAGAGGTGTACAGCTGGGGGCGGGCCTGGTTGTGTTGTCGCAAACAGGCCCTTTTGCTGATCCATGCAAACTCTCTGCAGAAGACAACCGGGCAGGCGCTTTTGCCTCCTTGCCTGCATGCGTGGCGCCACGTATGGCGAGTACTGGAAGGCATCGTACAGGTTCCAATGACGATGCAACATCAGCCTGACAGTAGGCCGTGAGAAGGTGAAAAGGTTGGAGTTAACAGGAGGTGCAGGGGGCGAGGCTATAGTCGTGTTGCAAACAGGTCTTGAAGCAAGAGCGAGTGCCTCGACACGGTGTGATGCTGCAGGTCTAATCACTTGGCATGGAGGCAAGCTGCAAGGGCTCAGGCTCCAGAGATGCAGGCGATTGGCCCCGGCTGCCGCCCCACGCACCGGAAGTCCACCGCGGGCGTGATGTTGACGGTCGACGACGGCAGCGCCCGCTGGTTGCCCTCGTCGTCAATGTAAAAGTTGTCGCGCCCTGGGTGGTGGGACAAGAGTTGGCGGTGGTTGCTTTGGACACACAGTTGTGGCCTTCGTGCACGCATGCTTCTAACGGCGCACGGTGGCCACATGAACTCCAGTCACACGTAAACCCTGATCCTAATCCTTTGGATTTGGAATTAAGAAGCACTTTCTTGAGCTTATGGCTGCACGGCCGGGGTGGAGCCAGCTGAGGTGGCTGCCGAGGCCATGCGGGCCAGCGCGCGTGCATGCAGCGTCTGCGCATTGGCTGCTGGAAGGGGGCGCCCCTTGCTGCTACAAACAGCCTGTGGTCACTTGAGTGCCACCCTCTCCTGCCCGCCACTGCACAGCTCACCCCCAAGCGTGGCCAGCTTCTCCTTGAGCTTCTCGTACCACAGCCGGTAGTGGTGGGCAGAAGTGCGCTGGCTGATGAACTGCTCGGTCAGGCCCGTCATGGCTGGCCTGGGTTGTCACGAAAGTTTGTGTGTTGGTACATGCGAGCGCGCGCGAGCCCGCACAACATGTGCTTGCAATTGCAGCGAGGGAAGAGGGATTACCGCAGCCGTTTGGGCTCGATGAGGGCGGCCTGCTCGCCCTCAATATCCTGTCCCATAGCGCGGGTCAAGTCGCGTGAGCACCAGCAGCAATCCCACCCACGCGCCGTGATGCAAGCCGCCACCCACCACAGGTCGCCCATCACGAGCCCCGCGCTGCGCTGCTCTATGAGGGCCAGCGTGCAAAGCGCCGCGGGCTTGCCATAGGAGCTGCCATAGCCATAGTATTCGTCAAGAAGGGCCTTGCGTTCCTGGGGGCATCATTGAACGGGGTCACAGGTAAGTTTGAAATGTTCAAGTGTACTGCATATTTACAGGCTGGGCAACAAAAAATTCAAGGTTATGGTGGGTAAACAGCAACTTGGAAGCGTCTCGTTTTCAAACCTGGACTTTGCGCTGCAAAAACGCGGTCGGCATCAGTGACCACAACCTGCTGCATATTGCCCCCCACCTGCGGCTTTCCAACCAGCAGCCCCCTCACCTCAACCTCCCGCAACCGCTGCTTTGCCAGCTCCCGTCCGCCGCCGCTGGGGCTGGCTTCCGCGTGCGACTTTTGCCGCTTGCTGCGCCCCCCAGCCCCCTCGCCGTCCGACTCTCCTTCACTCTCGTTGTCACTGGCGTCCGCCTCCTCCAGCAGCTGCTTGTAGTCTATACCAAGATTGGCGATGGGTGATGGTTGTTTGTCAAGTGCGTGCCATGGTAAGGCTTTGCGGCAGCCAAGCCACCTCGGCCAGGTTGTTGTTACAAGGCACGGGCACTTTGTGAGGTCATTGCAGTGCGAGACAGATCGTGCCAGCAGTGTGCCCCCTCCCGCACATGCGCGCATGCGCACACACATACACACACACACACACACACACACACACACACACACACACACACACACATATACACACAAACCCACAAACCCACGAACCTTCGTCAGTCATCTCATCCAGCGGGCTGTAGGGGGGTATGCTTTCGCGAGGGCAGGGGTCGTCGTCATCCAGCAGCAGCAGATAGTCCCTGCAGGGTGGATCAAGGGGCAGGCCGGAGGACCAGGGGCACATGTATCTTGGGCTGGCTAGGAAGAAAGGTTGAAAAACGGGTTCTACATCAGCAAACGCAGGAACCATGCATAAGCACCCTGCCAGCCTCTAGTACACAAGCCTGAAGTGACAATTATGTGAATTGTGACTGACGAGTCCCGTAGCCATGCATACTTTTTTCCTCTACTTGAAACGGCCTCACAAATGCATGCGACCATGAGGGCAAGCGCCGCCGCCGCACCGGTCGTTATCGTCGTTGTACCGCGCGTCTATGGGCCTGTGGCTGTCAATCACGACGAACCGGATGTTGACCGCGCTGATCTGCAAGCGGAAACGGCAGCGTGGGGCAACGCGCATGCAGCTTGTCAGCTCTGCAGCACCGTCACGTGCACCCGTGTGCCATACCGTGTAGTGTCCATTGCACAACGTGGACGATGCAGCCGCGGGCCAGCAAGCCGACGGCACAGCCCTTCTATAGCGCCCGCTCAATCGCGCCCGCAGCACAACATCACCCACCCCTGCTTCCTCCAAGAGCTGCTTGACGTGGCAGGTGGCGCCGCAGTTAATCATCACCACGGTGCGCTCCTCCTGCGCAAGTGTTTCGTGCAGGGATCGCTGTCTGACCAGCTGCTTGACCATGCATGCAACAGCTGCATGCATAAACCAGCTGACCGCATGCTCTGCTCCAGCCTTGCAGCTGAACGATTGAGATTTGATGTGCGGCACTTGTCGCGCTGCAAGCAACCCTGCCCTCCCTTCTTCTCATCTCACTGCTAAGACCAGCGCGCCGCAAGGCCACCCACCGAAGACTCGTGCAGCGTCTCGCGCATGTTCTCACGCAGCTCCCGGAAGTCGCCCACTGGGTAGTAGCTGGGTCGCCAGTTGTTCATGTCTAGAAATCGCTGCTCAGAGTAGCATAGATAAGGGGCAGGGCACATTGCACGACTTGCCATGTCGAGCATGCTGTTGCAGTGCGACCCACGCCAGACTCAGTAGACAAGGACAACCATGTGCACCCACACAGACACCAGGTGCAACAATTGAGGTGCAGATATGCATATGTTGATGCGATGACATAATCTGGCACCATGCAGTCTTTACCACCTCACCATGAGCAGCCGCGTGGCACATGCACTGTCGACCTCTGCAATTGAGTGCAGCACCACCAGGCTCTTCTCTGCGCTTGCAGCACGCTCGTGCGTAACCTGACGCCATAGCTCTGGCAGCTGATCCGACGTAATTATCATGGTGGTGCTTCTGCTGGGACCGAGGCTGGTGCCGACGCTGCCACCGTGGCCAGGGAGCGCTGCCCACGTCGCACCCGCCGCTGCCCCTACTCGACGCCGCCCGCCGGTTACGCCATTGTGCGGCCGTTGGCCTCAGCACCTCCGAAGTGTTTCTAATGAAGCCTTGACCTCCCAACGCTGCAGGCTTGCCGGAGCTCGACGATGCTGTTTGAACGCGCGTACGATCTGTGGAGCCAGTGACACTTAAGTACTGCGCGGCAAATCAGAGTTCCACATGCTCATTCAACGTCTCCATGTTGAAGGCATAGGTGAATGATCTTGGCAAAGCGCGGCAACAGGCACTGCTCAAACGGCAAGCAGGGAAACTAGCGCAGTCGTGATTGCATGTACCAAGAGTATCCGTGTGGAGGCAGGAGGAATGCACGCATGAATGTGTGGGGTATTCCGCATGGGTCAAGCAGGGAGTCATCAGACGGGTGTGCAACTGCATGGTGCACTGCCAGAGCAGGTGCAAGTCAACCAGGTGAGAGGTAGGGCATCAGCCACCATGACAAACTCCATCCAAACAGGCATACATGCGTACGTATGTATGCCTGTTGGCCAGCGACCATTGGCCTGCTTCGGCGCGTGTCTCGACATGCCGCACTAGGCAGCCTGTCTCCAGGCTGTTCAGGCTAACCACGTGTGTGCCATTGGCGCCACGTCATTCGGCCATCAACTTTACATACAATGTGCCCCCGCATTCGCGAGCAGCACAGGCTTTCTGCGCTTGATATGCAGGGCAAGATGACCAGAACCAGGGGCAGGCAATACCATGGGCTTGAAACAGTCACGCGACCAGCTTGTAAGGACAGAATTGACAGCATTGACGCCCAGGAGAGGATTGCCCCAGCGTTGTGGTTAAAACCACATCGTTGGCTGCCAGATCTTATCCCTCGCTTGCAAAATGCCGTGCCTTCTTTGAACTCCCACCCCGCTTACAACCCAACCAGCTGCCTAAGGTGATTGCAATTACAAGTCCTCAGGAGGGGGGTGGCAAATTGGCATCACATTCAAACGCTGCGCGGTCCTGTTGCAGGTCATTAGTCATGAGCTTGGAGGCCCCGAAGCCGGTAACCGCCTCCCAAGTGACGCATATTGGCAACCTACCGCTGCCACGGCGCCCGGTGCCGCCTTGATTGCGGGTGACTGTACTGTTGAGTGATGCAGTGTGCAGTGCCGCGCCCGGCGGTGGCGGCTGCGGCACAAGCGTCCCGTACACATCGACCATAAGCGCCCTCTGGTAGTGGTGCTGCCGGCCAGTGGTCGCCACTGCCGGCCGCGCGGGTTCGCTGCTTGAAGAATTATTGGCCAAGGCCAGCAGAGGTGCAAAAACAGTTGGCTCCAACAGCGTTGTATTGAACGACAACTCGTACAACTGGCCTGCCGCTATGCCCCCCACATTCAGCCAATCAAATCGCCTGGAGTTGAGGGTCAGCACGGCGCCCATACGACTGCCTGCAGCGGTGCGAGCACGCCGCGCCAGCGGGCGACCTCGCTGGCCGCTGCTTGCGAGCCGCCTTGGGGCTGCCCGCTCCTGGTGTCTCTCTGCAGTAGTTGAAGTGGGCGCGGGGTGCACAAGCCGCCAGGACGCCCGCACGCCCGACGTGGCCTGCCGCCAAGATGCGTATCCACTGGTGTTGTTGAAGTCGATGAGGCTCTCATAGCTCTCAACTCCATACTCCACCGACGCCTCCCACTCTTGCGCATCAATCAGCAGGGTCGACTCGACCCGCAAGGTCCGCGGGCCCAGGCTAAGAGAGCAGCTGCCCGCCGCGTTCGCGCTTGTCAGGTCCTTGCCAATACACGTGCTTGCGATGGGCAGCTCCAAGAGGCTTTGCAAAGGCAATGCAGTCGGGCCACGCAGGGCCGTGATGCGTGGCAAGCCCGGGGCCCGCCACAGCAGCAGCGTGCTTGCCACCAGCCAGCTGGCGCCTGTCGCGCCGCGCAGCTCTATGGTGATGCTGTGGGGCGCGCGCGTGTTGAGGGCGCCCAGCCACGGTGAAAGGTCGAATGTGTACGAGGGCAGCAGGAACGTGGGGTGCGCCACAATAGACATCCACAGCCGCGGGTCCACGCCACCCTGCGCAAGGGCACAGGAGCATGCATAAACATTTAGGGGGGTGGTTTTGAGGGTGCAATCACATGGCAGGCGACCATTTCAAACACTGGAACAAGGCCAACACATGCTTCCAAGTGCGATGTACAATGCAAATTCGCAAGTGTAATCAGCTCCCCTCCCTTCAACTGAAGGGACATGCTGAGCAGGCGCTGAAGCAGTTAAGGCTGCATCCCTCGTTGTATTGCAAACCCACGGACGCTGGCGCGACGCGCCTCCGTTTCCCAACCAACCGTGTAATACGTGTAGTAAATGGGGGAGAAGCCCGCCAGCTGGCCGTCAATATACAGCCGCACCTAGTGGGAATGAAGGAACAAGGCAACATGGCGAAAATCCCATCATGCAACGCCAGCAAGCAGCACGTCCATTTTGCATAGCTGCGGCTCTGTTTTTCCTCTGCAGCCCGTAGGCCTCCGTGGTGTCCAGGGGCAGCCTGCACGGCCCCACACCTCGCGGTAGGGCTCTCCGACACTGAGGCCGTTGCAGGTGGAGGCGGTCAGGTTGCCGGATGGGTTCATGGCCCAGAACTCCTCACAGCCATCCCCTTTGGGGACTACCACCACCTGGGTGTTTGAAACGGTGCATGCATGCGCACAGATCCAATGAAACTTGTTGGGTGAGATGAGGAAAGGGCTTGCCCCATAGCTGCCGCCAGCAAGGGCCTGCAACGCACACTGAGGCTTTTGAAGTACGCGATGAAGCGCGGCCCCACTTCAGCAAGTGTGCCGGCTGCATGATTGCAGGCGTGCACCTGCGCACCTGTGCGCGGTAGACGTTCCCGGGCTCCGACAGGGCCTCTGGCAGGCTGTATGTTGCATTGGGCCAATAGTCCGGACTGCGCGGCGGCCGTGACATCAGCGGGACCGAGTGTCTGCTGGGGTTGATGGATATGTGTTAAAGCAAGGAAAGCTGCCCAACCGCCAAGCCCCCTGATGCATGGCAGTTGAGCACTCGGAACAGCTGACTGCCTGCAAGCACCACCACTCCTACATTATTCTGGGGCGCACCTATCACCAGTGCCAGTGAGAACGGTCAGCGCATCGGAGGAGGGCACACCAGGGTGTACCTCCGGCACCAGGGGCACCACTTCATCCGGCACGTCTGCAGCCGCCGGCACAAAGGTGCCCCGCCTTGCCGTTCTGTTGGCATCGCCAAGACTACCCGCTGCGGAGCCAGCACCACGACGCTGTTTCCGCACCGCTGCGCCTGCCGCCTGGGTCGCGCTGGCGGTTGCAGCGGCCTTGTCGGGTGCGGGGGTCTCCGCATGAGGGACTTGGCGTCTGGAGGGGGAGGGCTTGCGGCTGTGGTACAGCACCTGCAGCGTTGCGCTGGCCCATATGGGAACATTGTACGTGTTTGACAACACGCTATCCAGGCGGAAGCGGGTGAAAAGTGCGGACCCATCATCCTCGGACTGGCCTGGGCCGGGCTGCTGTTCGATGTAGGGCTGCAGGTGGGTGACGTCAGCAGTAGCAGCCCAGCGCTTGTCTGCTGTGCCAACACGTGCCGGTACAGGCTCACTGCAGGTTCCCAGAGCGGCCTGTTGTGTTGGGCAGGTCGGGATTTGAGTGAGCATGTGGTTGCTGGGGCGCTGTCTGGTCCGACTTTTATGGAAAAAGCTCAGTGTCCGGGCCGTAGCCAACAGTGACTTTGCCAGGCTGATGCGCTCCCGACATCCAGTGCTTTGATGCCAGCACACTCACCACAGCGTGTCCAATTTGAAGGGAATACATCCGGTCGAACTGGCGGCCTGACGCCAACCGAAACTCAACCGTCAGCAGCAGCTGCCGCACTTTCTGCTCGCCAGCGTCCCAGCCGCCGGGACACAGGTCGTACAGGTTGCGCGGCAGCCGGCCGAAGAAGAGGTTGTTGTAGCCGTCAGTAGTCAAGTTCACAGCCAGGCTCTCTGCATCGCCGCCCTTGGCGTGGCCACTGGGGGACCCACTGTTAAAGCAGTAGTCTGCCTGCTGGTGTGGCACACCCTCTGCCTTGCTGGGGTCGTATCGGCACGGGAAGGGCGACCACGGCATGAGCGTGATGTTGCAGGACCCAAGGTTTTTACCCTTGGACTGCTGGATTGGCTGAACAACATCCACGTTCTGCAGTGTGTATGAGCGAGGCAGCCAGGCGGCGTTGCAAGGGCAGGTGAGTGATGGTGGCGCTGATGATGCAGAGGGCTATGGACGACCGCTGCGTTGCAGCTGAGAGTTTTTGGTGCAGGCTGGGAGAAATCCGCTCTCAGGCACCACAAATCGGCGTGCGCTGCTCCACTATTTTACAGACTTCTCACCTCGTAGCATGGAATGGCGGGGTCTTCGCATGGCAGCCTCATGTCGATTGGCATTTGCCTGGGGCCTAGGGATCCCTTGACAAGCGGCGTCACAAGGCGACCGGCTGCTGGCCGCCTGCACATACCCGCGTTGCCGCGGGCGCCCTTGACCTTTGGACACGGTTCATAGACAGGGAATGGCAGGGCCACAGCAGCGGTGCCACTGATGATTGTGGACGCAGCAGCGGCCAGCAGCAGCAGCGTTGCTGCGGCGGGCGCGGCTGGAGCCATATGTGATGGCGTTGTATATGTCAATGAGTGAGATCAATCGCACATTAAAAGATGTTGTTGGGCGCCCTCTGCCGCGGCTGGTCCCTGATCAACCGACGCACAGTATGCCGCGTGCCGATTGCTGATACGGTAATGCAGCTACAATGAAAGGCACGTGTTCACACAGAGTATGATAAGTGATGTTCTATCAAAGATCTCGCCCCACGCTCACTCACTGCAGTGACGGTTCCTCGACGGTCGTGCTGCTCAGTGCTGCGCTTGCTGTCATGAAAAGTCAGGCCCCGACAGACACCAAATGCACAGTGCTGGCAGAACCCTGGTAAAGCAAGAAAATTAACGCAATTCAACGTCACAACTGTCGTTGAACTCTGCTACTGTAGTGTGTGTTGTGCCATAGACAACTCAGCAACAAGCAGGCCTGGTCAAGCATCGTGTTGACCATCCGCGAGGTGCCTAAGAGTTGTCTTGGTTGCTGCAGGTGGCTCACGGGATGCTTTCACTTTCTTCCTGGCAATTTGTATATGCGGGATACTCTGATGCTCAATGACTACAGCCGCCACCAGGGGGACACGCTCAAGCTTGGCTCCAATGCTTTCAGTGACGAGAGCGCCTGGCAAGCCCTAGCTGCAGTGCACCCCGTGATCCCCTCTTTAAGCCCTGTATAACTCACGAATTAGTAAAGCAGCAGCTATCGGCACACTAAGTGCCCGTTGGTGTTGCTTGAGAGGCGTCTTGCGGGTGACCAGGACATGTGAAACACTCAATGAGCGAGCGAGACTGCACCTTACAACCCGACATGCCATATGTTCTGCACACCCAAGCTGCATGATGCACTTTGATTAGCCAAATCAGGCTCAGACAAGTGAAGAATGCGCGATGGAGGTTGTAGCTTATGACGGCGGCCGTCTGTTGTGCGATGACCAGCTCGCTGTTGAGCCTCAAGACAAGCAACAACGCGTGGCCGGAGGCTACCCCTGCTGCCTCACATAGCGAGGATATCACCAGCCCCTGTAGTTCCGCATGTAGCGGTAAATGAAGAGGGGCAGGCCGCGGTTCCGCTGCACGTTGATCTGCAACAACACGGTTGGCACACGTGGGCGAGGTGGCGGTTGTCCATGAGTCAGTAAGGTTGCAAGCAGCACACGCAGCGGTGCATGCCGGCAAGCCAGACATTCCGGGATGGGGTCGATTATACTTTGCTGACCTCTTGAATTTACGCAGTATCAAAGCGCGCGATGCAGTCCAAACCAACCCCATGCAAGTGTCCTGTGCTCACAAAAATCAACCCAGCCATTGCCAGAAGCGGCACAGTTGAAAACATCCATATGCCACCCATAACAATTGCTGCATAGATGTAGATATTGCCAGCGTAGCGCGGCAGCGCCAATGGCAGCGGCTCTGCCACATCTCGAAGCTGGATTGATACCACCTAGCAAGATGAGAAACAAAGAGTGATTGGTTCACCACCAGATGGTCGAAGTGGTTGTGGGGTGGGTGGTGTTGATATTGTGTGTCTGTCAGGTTGGGTGGGGTGTTCAGGCCTGGAGGTGAGGGGAGAGAAAGGGCAGGTGGTGATGGACCTGGGGGTAGCAGCAGTATGCAGTGAGTGTGGCACGGCTGTGTTGAAGGAGCACGGGATCAGCAGGCAGACACGTGCATTCACGCCTCCACCTGAGACTTGATTAAGAATCACTCAAGTAAGCGTGCTCAATTCGCATTGCAAAAGCCAAATGATCACAGGAGCTGATGGTTGAAACAAACGCGCTCCTGTGCACCCACCTGATGCCCAGCAGATGGCGCTGCGCCCTGGTCTAGCAGCTGCTGCAGCTGCTGCCTAGTGCCACGCCACACCTCAAGGTCATAGGACGCGTCAAACCAGCCCTGCAATGGCAAAAGGGATAGATTGATCATTGCCTGGCTGTTGGATGATCTCAGCCTCGGTGTTTGACCATTCAAAGCAAGCGTACGTGGTGGGGACCACCCCACCTGCAACCCTGGCTGAGAGCTCACGGCTCTCCTCACATGTTGATGCCTTGGCATTCAACCGGCGCAGCCCTGGATGAAATTGTCCAGGCACCCGATTCGACGCGCGCACACGTCCGCATGCACACTCGCAGGCGCCGAGACTGCAACCATCAGACAACATGTCAGCATCCACAGCAGCGGGTCTCCAATCCCACACAAATGTACGCTCACTCACCGGGTCCAGCATCCATGCGTTGCAGGCGTCCAGGGCAGGCACGCCTCCTGCTCTCAGCGTGACTGCCGACAGCGCTCGCACTGCTACCGCCCTTTGGTTATCTGTGGCCTGCCCATCATAAACACTGCTGCTGCTGCTGCTGCTGCTGCTGCTGCTGCTGCTGCTGCTGCTGCTGCTGCTGCTGCTGCTGCTGCTGCTGCTGCTGCTGCTGCTGCTGCTGCTGCTACTGCTGCTGCTGCTGCTGCTGCTGCTGCTGCTGCTGGTGCTGCTGCTGCTGCTGCTGGTGATGTTGCTGCTGCCGCCGCTGCCGCTCTGTCTTCTCCCCAAGCCCTCTGTTAGATCCGCAGGCTCTATGCGGTACTGCGGCAGACTGAGGCTGTCGCTGAAGAACAAAAAGGGCACAGCGGGCGGCTCGTCGTCGTCATATGGTGCAAACGTGAAGGAGTTATCTCCTGCAAGAAGAAGCCGCCCCACAGGTGTGCTTGTTAGCAGTGCGGGCGACACGGGAAAGCAAGTGTTTCAACCCCAGATTTTGAGGCAGGCAGCGCAAGAGTGCATAAGGTGCAGACATGTGAAAAGGTCAAAGCAAAGTTAAAGTCGGCGAATCACACTTCAAATCCCCTTGATCATGGCTGGCCAGAAGGTACGCGCCTGCAAAGAACAGAGCTGGCGGGCGACCTGTGTTTGCGCATCCATAGCCGGGCGGCCACGGCCACAGCTCCCAGGGCCACCCAAAGTCATTGTTGTCCCAGTAGCCGCTCACATAGTCCGCGACCAAAGGAACACGGGCGCCGCCAATACGCAGGGAACGGCGAAGTGGTGCCCTGCGGAGCAGAAGAGCTGTTCTCAGTGTGCGCGATGCGACATCGCCAAGATTGAAGACGTGCAACACGACCACTCTCGGCTCCTGGTTGTCGGCGTCACCTAGGGGTGCACCCACTCACGCTGGTGATGTGTACAGGGGTTCAGAGTAGCGCTGCGCCACGCTCTCGAAGAACGCGAGCAGCCTGGCATAGTCCAAGCTGTATGGAAAATGAAGGCGCAGCAACAGATCGTATCATCGCGGTTGGGGCGCGCAGCCGAGGAGGCTTGGGCTCTGCACAGGTTTGTGCAGCAAAAAGAGGCAGCTGTGCAGGCGCTCCTGCCGGCGACAGCAACCACCTCAGATGAATTCGCTGCTCTGAGGTCCTGGCTCTGTCACGCACTTGTTATTGTCTTGGATCGTCAATGCCTCTGCCTGCTGCTGCGCTTGCCATTCCACCGACAGCCTGCTGCTGTTGGGGCTGGACCCGAGGTCCACTTGGGCACGCAACCGCACGCGGCCTGAGCGGCCACAGTCGGCCGGTAGCCCTGTTTGTGGATCAAGTCCCGCTGCTGCATACACAGCGCTTCGTGTCTGGTTGCACCGGCATCAGATGTGGGAGAGGCGGAGTTCAGCCTGGGCACGCCGGCGGGCTCTATTTCACAAAGCACAGGCGCTAAGTACGTATTCGCTGCTGACGCTCCTGTCACCGTTACCGTCGCCTCCGGCAACGCTGCATGGCTTCCCGAGGCCTGTCCGCTCACCCTGGCGCATGCTGCTGATGTGGCAGCTGTGTTGGCACAAGTGAAGGTCACAATCGGTGGACAGTAGGGCTGTGGCTTGGCATACGAGGCCCCAAGTGCCCAGAAGTAGGCGTCCATGTCGGAGTCCGTACATGAGTAGCCAAAGACGGCGGGGTCCTGGTTGCAGCAGAATGCAGCATTGACAAAGTGCTTGTGTTGGTACCTGTAGCGCGTGTGTTGAGAGCGGCCGGGGGTAGCAGTATGAGCTGTGACCAAATGGCTGGTTGAGGAGTATGTCAGGTACAAGGTTACAGTGAATGCAAGCAAGGGGGCGTTCGCCTGCACAGCCTGCCTTTGCTGGTCGCGGCGCAGGAGGGCCCTGAAGCCCGCTGCGGTGGTGCGCTCACATGATGCCAGGCTGCGTCACCCTGTAGTCAAACAGCATGTCGCGGAAGTCCTGGTCCTCCACATTGATTAGCAGAAGCTACGAGGTTGCGTGCCGGGCATTGCTGTGACCCACGCACTGGCCGTCAGCCAAGCCGAGTGGTGAGGCGGCCAAATGTGGGGATCGCATCCACAAGCGCCCGATCCCCGGGCTTCTGGGTTCAAACCCGCTGCATTCGCACATCCATCCAAAAACCAGCTGGTTGGGGGCTGGTCACAGCTTGGCACATTTCCACACAGCGCACCTCGTACATCACCAGCAGCGCGCCGGTGAAGAAGGACAGCGCAGAAACACAAATCCATCCCTGGAGACGCAGGAAGCCCTCGCGATAGGTCTTCACATTGAGAGGGATGTGGCGCTCGTCTACTGACGGCATGGTTCTGTGGTCGCACGGCAGTGCTCTGCTGCGCTGGACCACAGCACCCAGCGCCGTAGCCGCACGGGCGCAAGGGCCCCAGCGTTTGGAGAATCAATAGTGATACGGTTTCGCGAGGCCCCTCTACGTTGTGCTGTCGCGATCTGCCGCGGCGGTCTTGCGTGTCAAAGCATTTGAGCGGGACGCTGTAATCAGGGACGCCCGGTGCATGGACTTCAGTACATCACTGATATCAAAATATTCACCAAATTCATAGCGTTCGGTATTCTGATCGATCTGATGCACTGTCACTGTTGGTGCCTGTGTGGCTTCTCTTTGGCTCGCTCTAGGGGCATCCTGCTGAATACAAGGTGGTCGTTTGTCGTTCGCACGCACCAAAGCTGCTACTTCGCAACTGCACAGCCCTCACGCCGCCCTTTGCTCCCAAAGTCCTGGGACACAATCGATCTGACAGTAAGGTAGCCTACTCTCAGCGTGTTTAGGACACAGCAGCAGCATCAATGGCGCGGGCCAAGATTCGCTGGGCGGACACACTCGATGAGGAGGAGTTTGGCGAGGCCCTGCCGCCCACCACCATCAAGGGTCCTGATTCCCATGGCGTCAAGACAGTGACGGAGTATTACCGCAACGAAAAGGGTGACGCGATCAAGAAGGTCACCAAGAGCAAGGTCGTGCAGGTGGAGAAGAAGGTGTACAAGGTGCGCCACGCAGTGTGCAGATCTTGCTGCTGCTGTGATGATGTTTGTGTGCTCCAGTATGGCTGTACAAGTGAGAAGGCTGGACCGTCAGTGTCAAGGCAGATGCATGCTATGAAACCAGCTGTGGTGACGCGCCGCTACCGCGGCGCTGCTGCCGCCGCCGCCGCTGCTGCTGCTGCTGCTGCCGCTGCTGCTGCTGCTGCTGCTGCTGTAGCGTTGCGACATCGATTGGAATGCAGCAATAGGCTTGTGAAACGCAGTTTGGTCGCCGGGTTTGCAGCACAATGCAGCGTATACAGGCATGCTATGTGTCCACAGCCATTGCTGTGACCTCAGCACGCACGCCGGTTCAGCAGACTGCTTGCGCAAACCTCCCAGCCCGCAAGTATTCATGCCTGGCAACCCCGGCCCTGGGACGTCCTCCTCCTGCCAGGTGACTGAGGAGCGTCGTCAGTGGCAACGTTTCGGCAAAGCCGCGACTGAGACGGTGCAGGACAGCGTGACAGTGCAGCAGAAGGAGGACATCCCCTTCGAGCGCGTGCGGCAGCTCAAGGCGACGCAGCAGGAGAAGAAGATGGACATGCAGGCTGCCATGCAGTCGGCAGACAAATCCACCATTGTCGGCAGCCTCAAGGACATGCTGTACAAGCGCCGCATGGAGCGCGAGCTGCTGCGCGCCAAGGGGCTGCTCGCCGACGCGGAGAGGCCCCCGGAGGAGGACGGGCAGCCAGGCAAGCCCGCAGGGCTGCCCAGCGCGCCCAAGCCAGGCAGCTACGTTCCGCCCAGGTGCGGGGGAGGGCGAGATTGGCGGGAAGTCCTTGGGGCCCGTCGATGGAGGCGCTCGGGGTGTGAGGATGCTGGGTTTTAGCCTTGGCCGTGGCCATTGCAAGTGCTTGTGGTAGTTGAGTATGCTGGCACTTGGAGCTATTCGACGGGCAGGCCGAGCTCACGCGCGACGCTTACCTGTTTTTTTGCGGCTGTGTTGCTCCCTGTTCATCTCTCCCTCGCAGTGTGCGCAACCGCGGAGCGGGCGGCGGCGGTGGCGAGGGTGACAGCATGCAGCAGCGGCGCCGTGACGAGAACAGCCTGCGCGTCACCAACCTGTCGGAGGATGTGTCGGAGGCTGACCTGCAGGTATGGGGGGGAGCGCTTCGGTCCACGCCAAGGCTGGTTGTTGGGGCCACAGCATCACACTGTACCGCTGTGCAGCCTGCCACCAGCATGGGGCTGTTGCTCTGCTGCCAGCCGCCGAGCGTCGCATCAGCCGTCGCTGCCAGCAGTCGAGCGACTTCCCGCCCGTTAAAGCGGCCCCCATCCGCATTCGCGTGTGCAGGAGCTGTTCCGGCCGTTTGGCCCCATCAGCCGCGTGTTCCTGGCGGTGGACCGGACGACAGGGGAGAACCGCGGCTTTGCTTTCGTCAACTACGTGTACCGGGAGGACGCAGAGCGCGCCATCCGCAACCTCAACGGTGCGCACAGGGGGCAAGCAAGCCGCCAGCTTATCCTGGCTGGGCACGGGGTGTGAGCAGGCCGCGCAGCAGTGTCGGGAGCATCAGGGGTGGCCCGTGTGCTGGCATGTTTCTCTACACCCAAGGATTGCCCCACAAAGTGGCAACGCGCCCTCGCTTGCTCCTCGCTAACGCGTCGCGTGGCTGCCGTTCCTGCACGTTTTTAGGCTATGGCTACGACAACCTCATCCTGCACGTGGAGTGGGCGGCGCCCAGGGCCGAGCGCGGCTGATCGGGCTTGCCAGTGCAGGCTAGCAGCAGCGGGCGGCGGGTGGTGGGCAGCGGCAGCAGTGGCGGCGGCAGACTGCCTTTGGTTTTTTATGCTTGAGGCTAGGCGCTTGGCTGTTGACAGTGTGAAGCAGGCGTACTCGTGCTGCGAAGCGCGCCATCATGCGCCATCGAGTAATGCAATTGTTGGTTGGCATGGGTTTCTCTGGGCTGGCGGACTGTGGTGCTGATGGGGGGCGTGTGCTTGCTAGCAAGCTGAATGTCACAGTGAAACTGACAGCCTCACAGGCGTTGGCTGCTATGGGGCCTGTGCAGTGCACGCAGGAACAGAAGCTGGGAGTTTCAGGGGGGCCAGCAAACAGCCAGCCGGTGCCGGTGCCGGTGCCGGTGCCGGTGCCGGTCTCAGCATGGCCACTTGGCAGTCAAATGCATGCACGCAAAATTGCAGGGCGCTATCAAACGTGGTGTCATGCGTCTTCCGACGAAGGCGTCGGGTATCTTGTTCGTGTTATGGTATCCAAGCCCAGACCAGTCAACAAGCTGGTCTCAATCTCAAGTGATCTGGTGTCGGCGTGAGAGAGCGCTTTGCACAAAGTCGAATCAAGAATTCTGGATACACGTATGACTGTGGTGGTCAGACTTCGCTGCCAGAAGTGGGCTCGCGGATCGCCAGCCAGCAGGGCGCAACGAGTATCCCGTGCGGAGGCACCGTGATTGACAAGTCCGAAACGTTGAATAGTTGCTTTATCAGCGGGATATCAGGGCAGCTCTGCGGGGCCTCGCACTGCCCGCGCTGTGTCTTCGCAGTGCCATGAGGCGCTTCGCACACATCGACAGCCATGGAGTGCGAACGCCGATGCGGATCCTGTTGTGCGCAGCCGCGATGGCCCTTCTACTTTCCAGGACAATCGCGGCAGCACCAGCGGAGCCCAGGCCCCCGGCTCGTGACCAGCAGCGGGGGCTTTTGCAGGTGCCGGTGCGCCTGGCAAAACCCTGGAAGGTCTGCACATCCTCTTGGACGGTAAGATGGACAGACGACCATGCGCGTGCACTTTCAAGAACAGCACAGCACACCCGCCACCCACTCACCCAGGAGATTGTCTGCGCACAATGTGCCACACCCCTCGCACCCCCGTTGCCGTCATCCCTCGACTATCCCCCTCATGCACCCCGCCTCCCAGCCCATGGTATCGTGCGAACCTGGTGGCGACCCCGCCACCTTCACTGGCTATGTGATCGAGCTATTCCGCCTGCTGGCCCACGACCAAGGATGGGCAGAGGGTGACTCTATGACAGGGGACTATTACCTGGAGTGCATGAAGTACACGGCGCTGATGGACGACCTGGAGTCACCCACGGGAAGCTGCGCGCTCGCCGCAGCGGGTGGGTGTGTTGTCATGCAAGGCGGAAATCAGAATTGTGGTGCGGCAAAGCGCAGGCCAGGCGCGGTTGGGGCTCAAGGGCTTTGGGGGCAAGGCTGGATTATGGATGGCAGGGGCGGCCAATCGGACGCACTGGTTGCCCCAAAGGAACTTCGGGCAGTTGGCGAGTCCCTCGCGGCCGGAGAAAGCAGTGCAACAGGGCACCAAGGAATTGACTGGCGCGGCGCGATAACCTGGCAGCCGCACGCTGCAAGCGAAATCCAGGAGCAGGCTGCAGCAGGACGGGCCCCGCCAGCCACCCCTCGCGTGCCGTCCCTCGGCCCTGCTCTCTCATCGTGTTTGCCCCGTCGTTGACGAGAGCCTTAGCAGGCCGCAACCACTGCTGCCCATTCGCCCTGCTGGCGCAGGGGTTGCCGTCAGCACGTCAACGCTCGACTCTGGCCTGATCAAGTTCAGCTGGCCTATCTACAAGGTGGGGCCTGGGAGTGTGCAACACCTGTGAGGGTGCTGGTGTGCTGCGTACGTGCGTACGCACACGCAAACTTTACACGCGCATCGATGCTAGTGGAGCGTGCAGGAGGGAAAAAATGCGGTGGATCAGAGCGGTTTCATGGCTTAAAGTAAGAGAGGGGAGGTGCTGAGGTGAACGCGGCGCAGCAAGCTTAAGGGCTGCGTGAACCCAGGCTGCCGACAGTGCTTGCAAGTAGGCGCGTGTTGGGTTCCGTCCAGGTTGGAAACCGTTGGCTGCCAACTCTCACATACCTTGCCGCTTGCAATGTGTTGACTTGACCTGTTGCACAATTCGGCAATCACCAGAGCGGCCTGCGCATCATGATTCACGGTCATCTGGAGGCAGGCAGCACATGGGCCTTCGCAGCGGTGCGTGGTCGCACTCTCCTCCCGGCGTTGACGGGCTGTGCGCCCTGAGGACCGTCAGGGTTGAATTGTGGGCATCTGCGCGCCTCTGCATCACCCTCGGCCATTTCCTACAACGGCTACCTCCGCAAATGCTCTCGCGGCGTCTTAATGCAGGCGTTCCACTGGTCACTGTGGGCGGCATGTGGCGGCACTGCCATCCTGGTGGGCCACACCAGCCAGACCACGCACATAGTGTCTGGCGCTGCTCCGCGCGCGATGTCGAATCGGGAACGTGCGGTCAGACTCTTCCCAGATGATGGCTCGCGCGCCAGCTGCGTTTGCTAACGCCGGCCACCCCGGCGATCCGCCACACTCCCCCCAGGTCGGTTTGCTGATTGCCTGTGTCGAGCGGGTGTCGCTGGGCACGCGCGCCAACCCCAAGGGGCTGGGCGGCTGGATGTGGGCGGCCTGGGCCAAGATGATGTTTGTGCCGTCTCACGTTGGGGACCCCCAGGTGCGCTGTCAGGGTGGCAGCCGGGCAGCTAGGAGGGGCTATCTGCGTGAGAGAAGCCTGCCTCCCGCCC